GCCGGTACCGGCCGCCACGTAGTCCTCCTCGAGGATGGGCTCGCGGCGCGGGGTGTCGGCGGGCAGAGAGAGCTTTCGGGGCGGGCCGCGCGCGGGCGCCGAGCCCTGGGCGCGCCGCTCGTAGGTGGCGCGGAGGTGCCGCACCGAGACGCCGCACTCGAGGATCTCGCGCGCCACGGCCTCGCGGCACCAGCTGAGCGAATGCGAGCGGCCCAAGCAGAGCGGGCCCGGCCGCCAGGGGGCGTCGGTCAGCGGCGGCAGCGGCTGGCCTGTGTCGGCGGCAAGTAGCTCGGCCAGGTGCGCGGGCCGTCCGCCCAGCGCGGCCAGCAGCGTGGCCATGCTCTTGAGCAGCTTGGAGATCTTGCTGCACCAGGCAGGCAGGCTGGCGGCGCGGCCGTGCATGCGGCGTGGGTCGACGGTGAAGCGCGGCGCCGACAGGGCGGCCGAGATGGGCAGCAGCTGCTCCAGCTCCAACTCCAGCTGCTCCAGGCGCGCCTCCAGCTTCTGCGCCTTGTGCAACACTTGCAGGTTCTCGATTTGCTGCTCGATGCGGAGGATGTCGGCCTCGGTCATGAGCTCGCCGAAGGGCCCGAGGATGCCGTTGTACTCGCGGGAGTACCTCCAGCCCTCGCGGGGGTAGCAGCACGAGCTGGCGGCCGTCAGCTAAGGCGGGGAAGACAAGAGAGGGGAGGGAGGCGCGTCTCCCTCTGGCCCGGCTCCCGCAGCGGCCGCCGGGGGCGCCTTTTGCATGTCCCGGGTGGTGTAATGGCTCCGCGGGGCTGCTTTTGCAGGGATGGGCCGCGCCTGGCCGGCGGGCGATTACACTGGGACGAGGCTTCGGCCCAGGCCGCCGCTCCAGGCGCTGGGCAGTGTCCACTCTGGTCGCTGGCTGGGACACAGCCGGTCGTTGGGCGCTGTTGCAGAGGCAGGGCCGGCAGATGGGGTCTCCACTCCTGGCTTGGTCGCTCATTACACCACCAAAGGAACATGCAAAAGGCGTTGAAGCTGCGACAGACGGCAGCCCTCTCCCTCCCCATCCAAGGTCTGCGATTTCGAGGCCAGATCCCAGCGAGGCCGCGCCTCACCCCAGGCAGATGACCCCTAATCAAACTCCCCTGAGGCCCAAGACCTCCCTGTCCGTGCTGTCAGTTTTACTGCTGAATGAGAGGCCCTTAAAGTGGCTGAAGCTGTGGCTTTCACCCCTCTTCCCACCCTCTCTGACTCCTGGAATAATAATACAACTTACAGAGCTAGGCTTGCCAGGCACTCATAGTCTCATCTGTTCCTCATTTTAGTGCCGGGTTTTTCCAGCCCAGGTGGGGGGTAGGGGCTGCCGTCACCTCCTCACAGGCCTCCCAGTTCATCCTGGCCCACCACAGCCCCCCACACAAAGATGTTTCCCAAATACAGATATGACGATGCCAACTTCTCCGCTTAACCCCACTCCCAGGCTCCCCACAATGGACAAAGTCCATTGTCCTCAAGGCCAGTCATCAGTGATCTGGCCACTCCTGGCGTCTCCACTCCACCCCCTTCAGCGGTACTGTCTTGGAGCTACCACACCCACTCTGACCGTCAGACCTCCCTGGTCCTTCCTGCTCCCTCTTTGACCCACTTTTTCCCCTGTCCACTTCTTCCTCATCTTCCAAGTCTCCCTGAGACATCCCTTTCTCCTCCCCTACCACCACCTCAAACCCAAACAGGCTGGTCGGTCTAGGGCTGCCCCAGTCCTCTGCCCTCCCCATCAGAGCACCTGCCCACTTGCTCACTCACACTGCCCTGTTTTGTCTCCTTGGGGGCACTTATCACTCGACTAAGGTGCTGTGCTTGCTTGTTGGTTGACACCCCCGCCCCACCACCGGCCCTGACATATTCACCGTGAATCCCCAGAGGCGACAACAGTGTGTAACACATAGACGGCGCCGGGGGGATGTCTGTTGAGCAGATCAATGGCAAACTATCCTGCCAGCCAGGGATGATCAACCCATCCGACAGATGAGAAACCCGAGGCTGGATGAGGCTCAGTATCAGTGGAAAG